AATGTCAAAAACCCCCCCCCCCCCCCCACGCTGCAAGGGTTAAGTGCTCATTTTTGACTAGGCGACTGGAGTAAATCATCTTTCCTTTTACTTCCAGAACAGCTTACGAGAGATAGGCTCCGCCCCTTTTAGCAGGAAACGCGTCACCCCTAGTTGTTTTAAAAGGCCCGCCTCCCTCCTAGCTCCTCAGTTTTTTGTGTTTCCTCCGTCAGGGGGAGACATGTCACCGGAACGGGGGGGTGATAGGGGAAAGGACCTGCCTTAGAGGTGAGGACGCCGAGGGGTGGAAGAGGGGAGCACTGACCGTCGGGGGAGGAGGGATCCGGTGAGAAGTAGTCCTTTTACTCCGGCCCCCCCATACAGAAATGAACGCGCAGCCCTTGCAGCGCCGAGGCGGCACCCCTGTAAGGGTATGTTTTGCGGTTAGCCCGTTATCTGCGCCTTCGCGTGCCCTAATCGCTCACCTACCCTCCCTCTTTCCTCTCCTCAGGTGGGTGAAGCAACAGACAGAGTTTGCTAAACAGGCGCAGAACCCGGACACCGGACCCAAGCTGGACCTGGGATTCAAGGAGGGACAGACCATCAAGATCAATATAGCGGTACGCTCTAACCGGAGGGAGCTCCGTCTCTTTCTGTCTGTGATTGGCTCAGATATTTCTGCCTGAAGGTCCGATTCCACAAGCTGGACTCTGCATCGGGTCCTCCCCGGCTGCTGGGTGGAGATCCGTTGCGGAGTCGGCGCCGAGACTTCTCGTATCATTGAGGCTTTATCTTGTACATAAAGATTTGTGTCTTGGTGGGCAGTGATGGCCGGGCCTTGTGGTGGGAGAATTGTCCTTCACTTTCAGCAGGTGTGTCCCCCGTCCTCCATACTAGGGACGCACCGATACCGGTTTTTTGGTACCGATAAAAAAATTTCGGTACTCGCCGATACTAATAACCGAGTAACGGAAGCCAGGTGGCATCTAATGACTCGCCACCTGGCTTCCCGATTAGCCGGGCAGCAGGTAATGACTCGCCACCTGGCTTCCCGATTAGCCGGGCAGCAGGTAATGACTCGCCACCTGGCTTCCCGATTAGCCGGGCAGCAGGTAATGACTCGCCACCTGGCTTCCCGATTAGCCGGGCAGCAGGTAATGACTCGCCACCTGGCTTCCCGATTAGCCGGGCAGCAGGTAATGACTCGCCACCTGGCTTCCCGATTAGCCGGGCAGCAGGTAATGACTCGCCACCTGGCTTCCCGATTAGCCGGGCAGCAGGTAATGACTCGCCACCTGGCTTCCCGATTAGCCGGGCAGCAGGTAATGACTCGCCACCTGGCTTCCCGATTAGCCGGGCAGCAGGTAATGACTCGCCACCTGGCTTCCCGATTAGCCGGGCAGCAGGTAATGACTCGCCACCTGGCTTCCCGATTAGCCGGGCAGCAGGTAATGACTCGCCACCTGGCTTCCCGATTAGCCGGGCAGCAGGTAATGACTCGCCACCTGGCTTCCCGATTAGCCGGGCAGCAGGTAATGACTCGCCACCTGGCTTCCCGATTAGCCGGGCAGCAGGTAATGACTCGCCACCTGGCTTCCCGATTAGCCGGGCAGCAGGTAATGACTCGCCACCTGGCTTCCCGATTAGCCGGGCAGCAGGTAATGACTCGCCACCTGGCTTCCCGATTAGCCGGGCAGCAGGTAATGACTCGCCACCTGGCTTCCCGATTAGCCGGGCAGCAGGTAATGACTCGCCACCTGGCTTCCCGATTAGCCGGGCAGCAGGTAATGACTCGCCACCTGGCTTCCCGATTAGCCGGGCAGCAGGTAATGACTCGCCACCTGGCTTCCCGATTAGCCGGGCAGCAGGTAATGACTCGCCACCTGGCTTCCCGATTAGCCGGGCAGCAGGTAATGACTCGCCACCTGGCTTCCCGATTAGCCGGGCAGCAGGTAATGACTCGCCACCTGGCTTCCCGATTAGCCGGGCAGCAGGTAATGACTCGCCACCTGGCTTCCCGATTAGCCGGGCAGCAGGTAATGACTCGCCACCTGGCTTCCCGATTAGCCGGGCAGCAGGTAATGACTCGCCACCTGGCTTCCCGATTAGCCGGGCAGCAGGTAATGACTCGCCACCTGGCTTCCCGATTAGCCGGGCAGCATGTAATGACTCGCCACCCAACTTCCCGATTAGCCGAGCAGCATCTAATGACTTGCCACCCGGCTTCCCGATTAGCCGGGCAGCATGTAATGACTCGCCACCTGGCTTCCCGATTGGCCGGGACCGGAAGTACTCGTGCTCGGCATCGGAGCATTTGGGCGAGTACTCGCCAAAATACTCGGAATCGGCACCAAATCAATACTAGTATCGGTATCGGTGCATCCCTACTCCATACCAGAGCATTGCTTGGGTTTGGAGATTTGATTGCCGCCTGCTGATTGAGGGGCAGAGGAGTCCCACAGACGCAGATTTCCATCTGAAGGACTTTTTCTTGGAGCTTTCATTGGCTGTCTGTGATCACATGACCAGGAATGAGGCGCGGCTATTGGTAGGGGGTCACGGTTATCTAGTGATGTCATAGTCGTCTCACGTGACGGAGATCTTCTGGAGAAGAATAAGCTCATTGGAAGCAGCGGGATCTTCTCCTTCTCTAGACCCGTCCTGTCACGAGGTCCATTTTGTTGTATGCCGTCGGGTCTCCGGGGGCTTCGGGGATCCGTTTTATTTACAAAGATCCGTTCTGCTTTTCTTAGAACATAAAGAAGAAGGAAGGTGCCGCCGGTGGTAAACCAAGACCGCTGAGCGCAGGACCCAACAGTGACCCGTCATAGCCCCGAACTGGCATTTACACGTCTGCCACATGTGACCCGTCATAGCCCCGCACGGTCATTTACACGTCTCACATGCGACCCGTCATAGCCCCGCACGGTCATTTACACGTCTGCCACATGTGACCCGTCATAGCCCTGCACTGTCATTTACACGTCTGCCACATGTGACCCGTCATAGCCCCGAACTGGCATCTACACGTCTGCCACATGTGACCCGTCATAGCCCTGAACATTTCGTGGTTTCCACACTTGAAGTTGCATGTTGTGCGGCTTTTTGTCCCCTGATAATGGATCTGATCCGTGCCGCCATGTCCCC